TTGGCAATGGAAATGGGACCTGGCGGCCATGCAGGCGGCAGACAATCGGGCGGTTGACTGATCGCTGGTCGGTGTTGACTGAATAAAGATAGTGTGGCTGAAATATTATTATAAATAAACACAACTGCAATTTTCTATAAGGGGTAGGGTTTGTGGTCCCTCATCGCTTGCGAATGAATGTAACTAGGGTAGTCTTCCTTACTTTTGAGCATGATTGGAGCTATGGTAATCCATTGATAGCAATCACGACACTTTATTGCAAACTAGTTTACCTATTATACTATATAGTTAGTGGATCGGGATACTCCATTGATCGAATACGATTGTAACTACGACACCATATTGTTAGCAACTGTACCTAGTGAAACAACTCTACCATGTTGGGAGATCTGTAGTTTGAAGATCAGATAACTACGGGGGGGAGTGAGGAGGACGCCCCATGCCTAGCACGAGGATTGTACCTGCCAGACGCTCTTACAACTGGGTGCACTACATGCCTCCCGGTAAGAGCGCCCTGCAGGATGCGTATCCCCCTGATTTCGCACCAGGCCGTCCTCTGTCGCCTGCAGCCCTGTCCTAGGACAAGGCTGATACCCCCTTCCCCTTTTCTTCCTCTTCCCGTTCTGCTGGGACGCCGGGCCCGTTTCCCGGCAGGTGATGCTCCCCACCAATAGACTGGAGCCTGGGTTTTCCTTATTAAAAAAAAAAAAAAAAAAAAAAAAAAAAAAAAAAAAACTGTGAGAGCGAACAGTATGCGAAGCTGGAATGGGCAGATGCCTCACGACGGCTGAAACCAAGGAAGAGATGGCATATAGGGAAACTCGCCTCCGGAATGACACAGGCCTGCCTGAGGACGAGCACATGGAAATTGAGGCGTGGGCGCACTTTGAGCAAGAGTTTGACCAGGTTATCTTTGCCGAAATCTTCATGGATGACAGTGGGCAGATGCCTCACCACGGCTGAAACCAAGGAAGAGATGGCATATAGGGAAAAGTCGCCTCCGGAATGACCCAGGCCTGCCTGAGGACGAGCACACGGAAATTGAGGCGTGGGCGCACTTTGAGCAAGAGTTTGACCAGGTTATCTTTGCCGAAATCTTCATGGATGACAGTATGGGAGATGTCATGGAAATAGGCGACGCGACTCTGCTCCCGTGGAGGTCAACGATCGACCGTGCTGTGCAGCCAACTCAGCCCGAAGGCGATGGGCCCTCGCTGAAGCTGGATCACCACGGTCGCCAGCGCGAGGAGAATCGGACTTGCAGTGACCAGAGGCGGCAGGACAAAAACGACCGTCCGGTAGACAAGAGAGTGGAGGGAGAAAGCGGCGGGACTCAAATTCACAACGCGCAGAGGGTGGGAGACAACCGGGGACAGACTGGCGGTGAACAGGTGGGGATGGGGAAAGGTGATACGCTAGTGCCTAAAGGATTGGACTGCCGGTCGGATCGGCACAGGCACGACGGCAATAGGGACCGGACCAGGGAAGAACAGAGGGCGATGGGCAGAGGTCAGTCGGTAGTCGCCAAGCGAATGGACGGCCAGCAAGGGCGCCACCAACAGGACGACACGATTGGCAGAGGGGGACAGCATATCGGCCTTGGTCGGAGGCAACAACCGTCTGTACCTGCCGGGGCTCAACGCCTGACCGACCGGAGGCAGAACGACAATAGAGACCGATCCGGAGATGAACATCTAGACAACCACCAAGGCGAGATGCTGGTGGACAAGAGAGTGGACCGACAGCAAGAGCGATATCGCTGTGACGAGAAGAATGGCAGAGGCGGCCAGACCACAGGCCCTAATCTGAGGCAACAACTAGCCGTGAGCGGCGACCTCCTCGACAACCGAATGGAAGAAGCGGGCGAGGTGGAGGGCAACCCGACTGATCACAAGATGGACGAAGGGAGAGAGGCGGGCGTGCAAGTTCTGAAGCGGCATCAAGGTGGGGAGGAGGGTAGCTCTGGAGCCCGCTGGGAGAAGGGCCAAGGAAGCCAGGAGAAAGGGGCTCATCCTACCCAGGGAGGTTGGATCCGGGAGTCGTCGGAATCTGCACAAGAGAAGCAGGACACGCCGCGGGAGGAACACAGGCCTGATGAAATGACTGGAGAGTTGGGGGAGAATGGAGGAAGGCAGTGCAAGAATCCGAAGGAACCACCAAAAGACTCGCACGGCCTGCACGCAATGATTTGTGAAGGGCTCTCGGGGCTTCAGCTAGGAAGGCGACATACAACACAACCCCTCTCCCTGGCGAAGAGCCTCCAGCAGGAACAAGAAAGAATAAGGTCTGAAGCCAGAGAAGAGCTGGAATCCCTATGGGATGTTACTATGGCAGAACCCCAACACAAGCTCGTAGGTGAGAAGAGGACTAGAAATCGCAAGAAGGCACGAAGAGCTGCGGAGGATGCGACCGCGCAGGAGTCAAGTGCGTCCGAAACAGAAAGGGCCGAGCGCTCCAAAGCCTCCTCAGATAAGCCGTCTTCACCCATCCTCCCCCCTCCGGAAGCACTGCGGCTTGAACCTGGTACAGGCTGGGCAAACCCTCTCCTCCTTAGTAGCTCCGCCTCTCTCTCCCTCTCCCCGGCGGTAGGTCCGTTGGCCTCTCTGCAGGCTACGGATTCGCTGAAGACGGGGGACTCGGTGCAGGTCGACAACACGGAGCTGATGGTAGACCAGAAGCTGGAAAAGGAGCAAGAGAACCCGGGACCAATCCAGAGAGAGGAGGAGAAGAGAGTCTTCGATGACATTCATGTGCAGCGGATGCGGCTTCTCGATGGCAAGTTTGACGAACTATGGGCGCAGGATCGGCTTCGCATCGTGCCCCTGGTGCTTCGACTGGAGGAAACCAAACTGCAAATCCTGCTCAAGCCCCTGCAAGGACAAGGCGGCATGCCACTGATCCCGTTTGTTAAGTTTACTGGCCACCCATCTCTGCAGAAAGCTGTGGCAGTCGCACAGAAATGGCTGGCGGACACCTCTGCAGTGCTTCCAATGAAAGGAGTCTCAGCGATCCGCCTGCTGCTCAAGGCGGATGCGGGCGACAGTATCGGAGCGTATTGCTTCATGCTGCGGGCCGAGACTCTCGAGAGGACGGCCCAACTCGGAGCATCGGCCAGGCTGATGGAGATTTCCTCTTGACATCCACCACTATGGAAGTTCTGATATTCGCCAGGGTTATGTTCCGTAGCCGCTCG